CCCTTGACATCTGGGGCCCTGGCGGTCGTCTGCGTGCAGACGGTCGCAAGGGCCTCTTTGATGACGCTCCATCCATCCATCCTCCTCCTCCACTCCTTAGGCCATCCGCTAGGCCCAAAACCCTCCTCCTCCTCTTCCTCCTCCTCCTCCTCCTCCTCCTCCTCCTCCCTCCTCCTCCTCCCCCTCGCGCCGCCCCCGCGTGCGCGACGCCAAAAATCAACCTCGCGAATCCCGAGGGTGGCAGGTCTCCCCATCGATTGGCGCGGGTGCTCCGGAAGGGGCGATCTCTCTCTCTCTCTCTCTCTCTCTATATATATATACACACGTACATGTATGTATGTATGTATGCATGCATGCATGCATGCATGCATGCATGCATGTCTGCCTGTCTGTCTGTCTGTCTGTCTGTATGTATGTATGGATGTATGGATGTATGTATGTAGGTTCGTATGTATGTGTGTGTGCATCTGAATTTGTACATGTATATGTATGTGCATATATATATATATATATATATATATATATCGCCGATGGATCGGCGAGATTGGACAGAGCATCGGTCAGGAGTTACAATGAACATGGATAGTAAGGACGGGTGGTAAGGGCGCAAGACCCTTGGAGGCCAGAGTTGGGATTGTTTGGGGCGGCGGGCGGCCAAAACCCCAGTAGACACGGCGAAGGACGGGCCGCAGAGACAAGGACACGCGGGTATCCTAGATAAGGCGCGCGTCCTTACTGCGTGAGTTGACTGTAGGATGCCGCCAGCGCCGCTCCGAGGGTCCATTTGCTGCACTTGTTTTGGCCCGGATCCGCTTCTGCCAGGCAGTCTTTCTTCCGATTCTTGCAAGTTGTATGCAGCGGGGGGGGAGTGGCGATGCCCGAAGAGAGATCTGACCTTCACGCAAGTCGGGACTCGCTTGCACGCCTTTTCGGCCCAGCGCTGCTTGAAAACGGCGGCGGAGGGTGCGAGGGAACGCTATGCAAGTGAACTTGCCTATGTTCTGTACATGTATATGTATATATACACACAAACCCAAACTGCACAACGGTTGTCAAAAGCCACCGAAGCCGTGCGAAACTTCTATTTACCCCGCCACTTCATCTCTTCGTAGCTCCTCCTCCTCCTCCTCCTCATCCCCTCCTCCTCTCTCGCGCCTATCCTCATGCTATTCATCCCACAGTCTGCTTCTTCCTCCTCCTCCTCCTCCTCCTCCTGCTCCTCCTAAGAAGGCCCGCCCCTGGCGTGAACAAATGTGGCACGACGGTGCCTTGCAATTGGGCCTAGCGTGCTAATGAGGGCCAAGGGGGCGACGGGGACCAAGGGACAATTGCGGGCCTCTGAATACCCCGCATCGCTCACTCTTGTAAGTGTTCACGCTTCGCGTATCCCGACCAGCCCTGCCCCTGCTTGCACGGCGTTCGACTCGTGTCGCGCGCCCGCGTACCCAAAAAGTATCCCGACCAGCCCATCACAAAACAGCACAGTTTGCGATGCACACCGACGGTCGTGATTTTCGGGCGTGTCTCCTCCTCCTGCTCTCGCATATCTCCCCGTCTTCCGCTCACCTCCGACCCACGTTCTGCTATACATTTTGTGGGGGGCAGTGGGAGGAGGACGAGGCGGAGCAGGAGGTCTCTGGACCCTTTTTGGGGTCCTCGTGGTGCCTCTTGGGGCACCCTTGGGGCGCTGTTTGGGGGTCTTGGGGCCTTCTTGGGGCCTTCTTGGGGCTCTTTGGGGAGGACTGGGAGGTCTCTTGGGACCATTTTGGAAGCCTCGGCTCGCAAAAGAGCGCGGCGTCAATGACGCCCCCCCTTCGTCGGAGCCCGAAAAGTTGTCTCTTGGGCCCTCTTGAACCGCTCTTGGCGCGCTCGTGGGTGCTTTTGGGCCCGACTTGGGCCTCTCTTGGGCCTGTCTTGGGGGTCTGTTGGGCCATCTTGGGGTCATTCTAAAGCCCCAAGAGCCGATTGAACACGAAACGGCGAGAAGGCACAACACATTGATTTGCCCAGAGGTTTTTGAAGGATGTTGGCCTCTCGGGGGCGTCCTTGGGAGGCAACGTGGTCACTTGGGGCCGTCTTGGGGCGGTTTTGGAGCCTCGTGTAGGCTTGTTCGGAGCTGTCTTGAACCATCGAAGGCTATCTTGAGCGATCTTGGAGGTCATCTTGAGCTCGCTTGGGCTGTCTTGGCGCTATCTTAAGCCAAAACAGACGCTCCAACCACCCGCGGTCCCCACTCTCCAGGTCTAGGGGGAGGGGGTCGGGGGAAGGGCAAACCTCTCCCCGAAAGGGAAGACGGGGGTGGAACATGACGGACTCTCAAAACCACTTCCGCCCAGAGGACTAATCGGATTTAGCCGGTGGGGCTTGGAAGAAGGGCGTTCCCAAGCAAGGCCATCCGAGGCACAGCGGCGCTCGTGCTGCGATGTCCTGGGCGTGAACCTGCGGGCCGACCGCTGCGGAAAGCACAAACGCCAGTGCATTGTTACTGGATCTCCCCTGCCGCAACCCATCGACAGACCCTAATCCCACCAGCCCTCTGGGCGGAAGTGGTTTAAAGAGCCTGTTCTGTTCCACCCCTTTTCTGCCCCTTCGGGGAAGGGTTTATCCTTGCCTCCTGTGATTAATCGCCCCCCCCACATCCCCACCTAGCCGGCCGATAGCAACCCAGCCGTCTGAATTGCAAACGACAACACAAACTCGTGTGTTTCTCGCCAACATGTCGTCGAGTTGCGAAACGTGCAGCAGTACTGGGACGGAATGAACATCACTTGGGTAACCCTAAGCGGGTGGTCGCGTCCGACCCATCAAGAACAATACGCCATCAACGTTTTTCTCGTCAACACGGACTTTCTTGTCGTTGACGCTGCGAATAGTGTAGCAGGAAAGGGACGCGGCGCACATCGCGCGCGGACGCCTGGCCAACTCTACGCGTGACCCCCCGTCCTACCTGTCAAAAACATAACAACGTCGACGTTTTTCTTGCCAAGATGTACTTTCTCCTCGTCGGCGCTGCGAATCACGTAGCGTGAGTGGGACGCGGCGCACATCGCGCGGGGACGCCTGCTCGTCAACATGGACTTTCTTGTCGTCGACGCTGCGGCCCGTCGTGTTGAGGAGCTGGGTGGTTTCTCGTCAACGTTGTTCAACACGCGGCAGGAATAGGACGCAGCTCATGTCGCGCGATGAACGTCTCGCCGCCCACGATAGAAGATGAGCGACAGGCGTCGGACGCGACGCACTTGCTTCTTATCTGCTGGGAGGGCGAGTGGGAGTGGAAGGGACCCTGTGGCTCGTTCGAGCTGGCTAACTTGACCCCTCCCCCTACCCCCTCCCCCTGGGCCTGGAGGGGGGGGCGCTGTGGTTGGAGCGTCTGTTTTGGCCTAAGATGGCGCCAAGACAGCCCAAGAGAGCTCAAGATGACCTCCAGGATCGCTCAAGATAGCCCTCGATGACTCAAGATAGCTCCAAGGCCGCCCCAAGACGGCCCCAAGTGGCCACGGAGCTTCCCAAGGACGCCCCCTAGAGGCCCAAATCCTTCACACACCTTAGGCAAATCAATGTGTTGTGCCTTCTCGCCGTTTCGCTTCCAATGGGCTCTCGAGGCTTCCAAAATGGCCCCAAGATGGCCCAAGAGAGCCCCAAGAAGGCCCCAAGAGGGCCACAAGACCCCCCAAAAGAGCCCCAAGGGTGCCCCAAGAGGCACCACGAGGACCCCCAAAAGGGTCCAGAGACCTCCTGCTGCGCCTCGTCCTCCTCCCGCTGCCCCCCACAATAATATATAGCAGAAAGTGGGTAGGAGGTGGGCGGAAGAGGAGGACATATGCGAGAGCAGGAGGAGACGCGCCCGGAAGTCACGACCGTCGGTGTGCGTCGCAAGATGTGATGTTTTGGGATGGGCTGGAGGGGATACGCGAAGCGTGAACAAATCGAACATAATAGCCCGGCAACGGAAGGCATCGGGCCAATCAGGGCCCAACCCTTTCAGATGTCATCCTCCGACCCCCGCTCGCTGGGTGTGCAAAGGCGCGGATGACTGGTTGTCCCCCTCCCCCTTGTACCTCCTCCCCTGGGGTCTAACATCTGACACGACGGCGGGGGGGTACGAGCTCCTGAACGCAACCCTGGGACCCCCAGAGCCTCCAAATCTAGAGTCCGTGGCCTCCAGGATGCCCCAAATGCCATCAAAGCTCGCTCCAGCTGGGCTCGAACACGCCGGGGATTGTTCAATGACAACCAAGATAGCCTCCAGAGTGGCCACGAGGCTTCGAAAAACCCCCAAGAGTGCTCCAAGACGACCCCCGAGAGGGTCCCAAGAAGCAAGAATCGTCGAAATCCCCAGGGAAAACTCATGTGTTCAGCATGTTCGCATGTTTTGCGTAAAAGCGTCCAAGACGGCTCAGGTTGCCCCCTAGATCGCTCCGAGACGAGCCAAAAAGTCCCCGCAAGAGGGCCCAAAGACGGTCGGAGAGGGTCCCAGGACGGCCCAAGAGGCGCCCAAGGTGGCCAAAGAGAGCCCCAGCAGGGCCCCAAGAGGGGCCCAAGGGAGGCAACTCGAACTGACGCTCCTGGCCCTCCGCCACGCGAAGACCCCCGCGACGGCCGGCAGACGCAGAACAGACTCCCTGAGAGGCCCAAGGAGGCCCACAGAGAGGCCCGGTAGCGGCCCCCGGAGGGTCCCCCAGAGGCCCCCAGGAGGCCTCGCCCGTGGACTGCGTCCCTGTGCTGGGGGTCGGCGGGATTCCGTGATGCTCTCGAACATCAGATTTAATCCGATCGACTTAAGCTGAAATGAAACAAACGTTTGAGCAGTTTGAAACGTATATGCATATACAGATCTGCATGTATGTATATATATATACACATGTATGTATATAACTATATGGATATGTGTGTGGCTTCTTGGATACCGCTTCTCCACCCTCCACGGAGCAAACAATCGTACCATGCTGATGCCATCACACGTTGGCCCCCCGCTAGCACACAGCAACGAAAGCCTTCTTTTCTTGTGCCCTGGCGCGGGTTCCAGACAACGAGCAGCCTTGCACTCAGCATTGCCCACCTACTCCGAAGTGTGGAGTCCGAACCTGCGAGCGCGTGCGACGTGGCCGCATGAGCACACAGGAGGCAGCCAGGCCTTCCTCATACCCCTCCTGCTCGTCCTCCTACTCCCTGCTCGCCCTCTCCTCCTCCTCCTGCTGCTCCTCATTCTCCTCCTCCTCCTCCTCCTCCTCCTCTGCGCCAGTGACTTGGTGCCCCGGCTCAGCGGGCGAACTCGCGGCCTCACAGCTCAGGCCCAGGAACATAAAACTCGTCCTTCATCATCCTGGCAACCGAGCAGGGAGTCGCCCCCTCCTGCGCTTGAAACTTCGTGAGCATTTCGACGATGTCGTTCACGAAGTTCACGTCATCGTCGTCACCTCCCCGAGACCCCCGAGTCTCCTCTGTCTGGAGGAGATAGTCGAGGACCTGGGCCAGGTGCTCGAACTCCCGCAAGGCCGCCACCTCGCCAGCAGGCTCCCGAGACAGCCTCTCGGCGAGAGCCGCGAGCCCATCCGCCACTCCGTCTTGCTCCGCCACCCGCTGTGGCATCATCCCCCGCCAGCGAGCCACGTCATCCTCTACGGTAGGAGCAGGAAAAGAGACACGGACATCATCTCCCGGATCTCCGCACGGATTCCTGGGGTCGGCGCTGGATACCCCTCCCCTGGAACGCGCAGCGTGCCAGGGGCGGCGGCGGAGGCGCCGCCAGGGGGTACCCAGTGCAGATCCAACAAATCCAGGACTTCCGCGCTGCTCTTCGACAACTGATACTCTATGTCGAATTTTCTTCTCCGATGTCTGGCGCCTGGGCCGCTTCCCGCAGCGCCCGCCCCCCCGCGGAGGCGGGACCGCGGGCTCTCGAGTCGACGCCCAGCTCCACGGCTTTGATCCGATGCTCCGCGCTCATGGCTTGAAGAGCTGCGTGGAACAGGCCGTCCTGGCCCCGTCTAAGCTTAAGTCGGACGTGTCCCCGTACAGGGGGATTTTGGACGAAAAACAAGAAATACTGAAAAAATACTCCCAAACGGTCAAAAAATACTAACAACAATTCCCCCCCGACTATCTTTTTACTATGTTTGAATATTCCTCCTGTAGAGGGACAGGCCCGACTTCAGTCTAAGCAGACTGCTGATCGCGTTCAGCCTGTCCGCCTCCTCAAGCAGCCTCCCCCTGAGCACCAACTTAGTCGCCAGCCCGACGGCCTCCTCGAAGTCGGCCGTGTCACCCCAGCATCGACCGCTGGCCTGCAGAGACCTGCTGGCCCACGCGTCGACGAAGTCGCGCACCTTGCTCGGCCAGCTGCGGCTGAGATCGCGCCAGGTCCTCCCGTGAACGATGTGGGCCTTCACTTCGTGGCATCCCGCCTGCAACACGTCTGACAAACGCTCTGACGGCCTCACAGGCTGGGCCCTGCCGTTCAAATAGATGTCCACTTCAAAAGCCCTGATGTAGTTGCGGGGGGATAACAGAAATGCATGGTTCCAATGCTCGGCAACCTTGTCGTGAAGAATTCCGACATGATCCTCCCTCTTCCATGACTGCCCCTCCACCAATCTAAACTGCGACCCTCTCCGGTATTCCGCGAGGACTGGAAAATCCAATCCTTCCAACGCCGGGACGGAGACAGATACCCGGTATTCTGTCTGCGCCATCCAGGCATGCAAGAGATCACTAGGCAAAAACTTCTCGAGCCAGAGCGGCTACCGACAGGGTCCAGTAGTGGTTCAACGGTTGTGTAGCGATCCGTGCCGGCATATTGCTTGCTGCCCGAAGGCCAACTCCCCTCCACCATCCTTTGCAAGGGCTCCCAACTTCGCGCTTCGCGCTGCGCGAAGCGCGAAGTGCGAATAACTTCGCGCTCTCGCGCCGCCTCCCCAAAGGGAGAAAAGGAGGACGAGGAGGAGGGGGAGAAGGAACGAGGACCGCGAAGCGCGAAGCGCGAATAACTTCGCGCCCTCGTGGGAGCCCTTGCAAAACAACGATAGTAAGTGGACGTGGCACAAAAATCTGGATCATGCGCGAACGCCCCGCGATGACTTTGAATGCGTTTTTGACGGGGACGGCGGGGGGATCAGCATATTGCCTGCTGTGTGCAGTGCCAACTCTCCCCCACACCATCCCTTGCAAAAAGCTATACAGCATGCAATTTGCACCAACATCTGGATCATGCGTGGACGCCAAGCGCTCACGCCTGTTTTTTGGGGGTGCCTGCTGCGTGCAAGCCCACAACACAAATGCAAAACGATCGTTGGCGCACACCCGCATACAACAAACCCGCCGTCACTACGCATGTCTTTTTTGACAGGGACGTTGGGAGGGTCAACATATTTGCCTAACGTGGCTATCTGGTGCGAGTGGCGCAGCTGGCGTGTGCGGCGCACTTCGCGGGCTTCGCGCCTCTGGCTGGCGTCTGCATTTGTTCCCGATCGTTGTCGATGGCGGCCTCTGTCCCTGCTGAGACTCGGGTGCTACTTAAGTCTTGGGAGGGCGGTTGGGAATGAGCGAGACGGCTTGTTGGTTGTGGATAGCTCGACCCCTCCCCTTACCCTCTCCCCTAGACCTGGAGGGGGCGCCCCGCGACCACTTGGAGCGTCCAAGAGGGCATCGGCTGGCAGGCACCACTCATGAATTCTACTTAGCATTGGGGCCAATATTGGCCTCCAGGGGAGGGGGCGGGGGGCTTATGTAGTCTTCCCTTGCTTTGATCGGTCTCCTCCAAAGAGGCCCCGGGATGGCCCCCAAGGCTCCCAGAAGTGCCCCCAAGAGGGCCGAAGAGGCGCCCAAGATGCCCCAAGAGGCCTCAAGAGGTCCCTGAGAGTCTCCGAAGAGACCCCCAAGAGGCCCCACGAAGCTCCTCCGAAACACCCAAGACATTCCAAGAGGCCCCCATGACCGTCAAGAGGCTCCAAGACACCGTACGAGGACCCCAAGAAACGTTCAATATACATCCGAAGATACTCCGAGAGGCGTCCAAGAGGCCCCTGGTCATTATGCTCGCTCTCTTACTCTTCCTCTACCCTCCTTCATGTGTCCTCTCCACCTCCCCCATCCTCCGCGACGGCGATTCCTCCTCCATCCTCTCCCTCTTGAGGCACGACGGCTTCCCCAGCCCGTTGTTCGACCGCGTGCTCCTACACATCCCTGATCAGGGCAACTCGCCTGGGCATCGTTTCTGGATGGGCTACGGTGATTAGACGAAGCGTCTAGAGTAGCAACTACATCCAAGACAGGGGGGATGCGCGGGATGATGGGGATCAGCTCGCGCATTAAGTCACCATCCGCCTAACGAGCTCTCGCGCATCTGTCCTTGCCTTGGCGACGGCCCTCGCCGTCGCCGTCGAAAAACTCCTGGAGACTGCTGGCCCCCGCGATCGAAGAGGATCCGTGGGGAAGACGAGCCAGAAGCCAGGACCCAGAAACGAGGAGGAGAGTTGAGGAACGCTCCAGCGTGAACGACTTGGCTCATGGGGAAAATGGCTAGTCGACGAAGGAAGAGCGCACGGACTAAGGCCACCCACCGCCGAGGAAAGAGCGCGGCAACGCCAGTGAGGCAACCCTCACGCGCTGCCAACCTCAGGAGCAGGCACAACCAACCGAGAGCCCGTGGGACAAGAGACCAGACGAATACACACAAGAAGTCGGAACAGACATCAGGGAGAGGCTCAGCCAGTAAGGCCAAGAGCTCGCTCGAGAGGTCGGGCATGTGCCGCGAGACCAGAAGAAGGCAACACCCGCTCTCTTATTGAAATGTGGGAAGGGGCCAGGGAAGGTGGACGAGTTGCAGCGGATGTGCCATCGGAGCCGCCCAGGGGCATCACCAGGCACGCCCCCGGGGTCCAAGGCCCAGGCGATGGACAGCGAAGGGCGAGGCCGCGAATCCAGGGGTCACAGGCAACTTACGGAACCGATCGCCGCGCCACAGCCAGTGGATGTCTTACAACAAGTATGGGCTCAGCACAGGGACCAAGCCACCGGTCTCTCACCTGTCGCTCCTTCGAACCACATCCTGGCCGCATACCAAATCGCGGGGCTGGATAACAATCTAATCCTGGAGGCACTTAGGTCCCTCCACGAGCAGGGCACCGTCCTCCTAGGACCCGAACATGCTGCCTGGGATATCTCGGGACGGGTCCGGATTGATGAAGCAAGGGATGTGGACTTCACGCAGCAGAGTGGTGTGGGAGTGCAGCGGGGGGACCTAGCGGCAGGCGGAGCTGAAGCCAGAGACGGCACGTACATGCACCTAGTCTCCCTCTTCGACGGATGGAGATTAGCCAGATTGGCCGTCGGGGACCTGACTCAGAAGCTGGCAGCGAGCCACAGGTTCCGGACCTCTGTCTTCGTGGAGCACTGTAGGGAGGCCGCAGAAGCGGTGACCAGAAGATGGAGCGCCACACCGGACCCAGGCGATGGCGGGCCCCCACACACCCAGCTTGTAGCTGACGTATGGGACCTGTTTCGCGAGCGGGGTGACCCTGGCAGCAGAACACTGTGGGAGGCTCACGTAGACTCGTTAGAGCGAGGCAGCACCCTGCTCATCGTGGCGGGCCCCCCTTGTAGCAACCTGTCCGCCGCCGGCCAGTTCGGAGGATACGACGGCCTGGCAGGTGCCCAGTCCTATTGCTTCTTCGCGGTACCCATCGCCTGGCATTTGGCAAGCAAGCGGCGACCAGATCTGAAGATACTAGTCCTGGTCGAAAACGTATCCTCCATGCCGACAGCTCACAAGAAGGCCATCTGTGCTGCCATGGGGGACTAAAATTTGGAAGGGGCGATAAAGATGAATGCGGCAGACTCTGTTGCCAGCCAAAGAGAGAGCCTGTGGTTCGGAAATTTCCCCCCTCCAGCCGACACCATCTCCTACCACAGGCTTCCCAGTCCATGGGAACCCAGATGGGCGTTCAGGACTGACGGTAGGATACCCAACTGGACGCAGTCGAGGGCATTACCAGGAGACCTC